AAATGGGTGGGGGGCAGAGTTTTGTCAGGTGGATGTATGGATAGTTGGATAGTTGGTTGGGCTTGTAGATGAAATCCATAAACCAACTGTTTTGGTTTGGTTGTTTTGGTTGCTAGTTTTGGGATTTGCTGTTAAAGTTGTAATACTTGAATTGATATTGGTGTTAAGAATTACTGCTGCTCAAACAGCAGATGGTGTGGTTGGTGTTCCGGTAGAGGCAGTGGTATTGTTAAGGGCATAGTCACATACTTGTAATTAGAAGACTAGTGCTGCAAGCAGTTTATCCCAAAATGAGAGATTTGTTGATTTTGAAGGATAGTTTTTCTTACTATTATTACCGAAGAAAATGATAGCTAGAATTTATTAGTTGCTATTTGCAGGTCAGTTGCATCGGTGTGATGCGTAAGTCACCAGTTCCAGTTTTTGAGAGCAAAAACTTTTCATGGCATTGCTTTAATTTTCTCCAACTCAGAAGGAAAGGTCAACTTTTAGTGACCTTTATTTTGGAAGATAATTTGGTCATGCATTACCATTTAAATTTATTTTTTCTTTAAGCTCTAAAATAGCAAAGCACGATATCTTTTCATATAGGTCAGTTTCCTTTGTAAATAAACTATTTTTTCTTTGAGAAATCTTACTTTTAGTTGCAGTAAGGATGACAGATATCAGCCTGGTGTGCAAATATTATACATGTTTCTTAATGAATGAATGAAGTCTCATAGCTTCTACTTTCTTTATAGTCCATTGGCATAGGTAGTAGGAGATTAAGAGCGTGGATATTAGTGTCAGACAAACCTGGGTGAGAATCCTGGCTTTACCCAGGCCAGTGACTTAATCTTCCCATAACTTAATTTCTACATCTTTCAAATGGAAATATCAATACTTTTTAAATTGGATGAGTGGGTATCAAAATGAAATAATATATGTAAATATGAACATCTTGGTAACCAATATTATTTTTGTTATGTAATGACTGCCCTACCCTGTCCTTAGGATAATTGCAATTTTAAAAACTGAGTTGGCTTCCAGAGTCATTTGCTAATTAGATGAATACAGACTCTTGAGGTGCTTAAATGGCCCCAAATGAACTACAAGAGGAGGTATTTGGACAGTGTTGGGGTTAAAATAAAAAAGAGAGAGAGAGAGACCTTCCTGCCCATCAGAGAGTTGAAATAGGATAGGCTGAGCTCATTTGTAATTCATTTTATCTGTTCACAAACGTTATGATCTGCATATCAGAGTTGTGTGCCCAGCTGGCTGTGCCACTTGACAAGGAGTTTCAAAGAGCAAGAAGAAGACTCACTTCATGCTATTAATTTTGACCTTTGGAGCCATAATAAACAGCCTGAGGTTTTACCTCAGGGCTTGGGGGAAAGAACCTTTTATTAGTCCTGTATCTGTTGAGGATGCTGTGAAATACAGTGGTGCTTTCTCACCTCTTTAGTGCCTCAGTTTCGGCCATGTGTGAAGCAATGTTTCTGCTGTACTATTGTCTATCAGGCTGCCTGAGCCTATCGGAGCTGCCCATTGTATAGTACACAGTTCCTGAATCTTTTGTCCTCTGTTGGAGGGTCTCATTGACAGTAGCTCTCAGCTGGCTGGCTTCTTACTGCCTAAGTGGATTGTTGAAAGCATTTTTTCTCTTCTCTTTTTCCATTATAAAATACTCATCTTTCCAACTGATGTGAAATGATTCAGCCCTTATGGGTGGCATGAAACAGCTTCATGATATGCCTATGTTATACCAGCTAAGGGACTTAGATTAGGGAGAGTTTTCAGGTGCCAGTGAGCAGTTTGTCACAGACTACTGAGGGTTAGATGTAAGTGAAAACCATTAGTGGAATTGCTAGGATTGCTTCCTGTTAGATAAGCCTCCTCTGTTTCCTGTGATAATTGTGAAGTGGTTTTTTTCTTCCTAGCTGCCCCTAGGGTCATAGGCCTAGATCTTTTCCCAGGTGTAAGTCTGTGAAAATATTTCCCCTCCTGACTGCTTAATAAATGTCAGTAAACCCTAAAGGTAAAACCGCATGTGAGAAAGGAGTCTCACATTTAATCTAGGGATTAAATCCCTAGATTTAACCCTCCTTTTTCTCTTTTTACCCTAGCACTTTACTTGTTCTCTGATTACAACTCAGTATCTTGGAATATTAATTCTTTCTTTAGGAATTGGCCTTCCTACTATGTTGTGAGCTCCTGGGGACAGGACCTCAGCTCAGTCATCTTGTATCTCCCTCTGCACATCCAGCATGGTATTTTACACAGGGTAGGCCTCCATAAATTGTTGTTAAAAATAATTGAGTGAATAGATTAGTAATTAAGGAGAATAATTGGAATATATGATATATATGACCTTTGGTCCCTAGAAACATCAAATTTTTTCCTGGTGTGGCTTGTTTGTGTTAAAGTATAGAACACAAATACCCTTTTACATTGAATTTTATTAACTTTTAAATTTTTAATTTTTGTGGGTATGTAGTAGGTGTATATATTTATGGTGTACATGAAATGTTTTGATACATGCATGCAATGCATAATAATCACATCATGGAGAATGGGGTATCTATCCCCTCAAGCATTTATCCTTTGTGTTTCAAACAGACCAGTTTTACTTTTTTATTTAAAAATGTACAGTTAGATTATTATTGACTATAGCTACCCTGTTGTGCTATCAAATAGTAGATCTTATTCATTCTTTCCTCTTTTTCATACATGTTAACCATCCCCATTCCCCACCACCCTCACTACCCTTCCTAGCATCTGGTAACCATCCTTCTACTCTCTATCTCCATTAGTTCAATTGTTCTGATTTTTAGATCCCACAAATAAGTGAGAACATGTGATTTTTGTCTTTCTGTGCCTCGTCTGTTTTACTTAATATAATTATCTCAATTTCCATCCATGTTGTTGCAAGTAGCAGGATCTCATTCTTTTTTTGGCTGAATAGTACTGCACTGCGTATGTGCACCACATTTTCTGTATCCCTTCATCAGCTGATGGATACTTAGGTTGCTTCCAAATTTTGGCTCTTGTGAACAGGGCTGCAGCAAACATGGGAGTGCAGATATGTCATTGATAGACTGATTTCCTTTCTTTTGGGTATTTACCCAGTAGTGAGATTGCTGGATCATATCGTAGCTCTATTTTTAGTTTTTTGAGGACCCTCCAAACTGTTCACCGTAGTGGTTGTACTGATTTACATTCCCACTAACAGTGTATGTGGGTTACCTTTTCACCACATCCTCACCAGCATTATTAGTTGCGTTTTGGATATAAGCCATTTTAACTGGGATGAGATGGTATCTCATTGTAGCTTTGATTTACATTTCTCTGATGATCAGTGATGTTGAGTAGCATGTCTTCTTTTGAGAAATATCTGTTCAAATCTTTTGCTCATTTTGTGATTGGATTATTAGATTTTTTTTTCTATAGGTTTGTTTGAGCTCTTTATATATTTTAATTATTAACGCTTTGTCAAATGGGTAGTTTGCAGATACATTCTCCTATCCTGTTGGTTGTCTTTTCACTTTGTTGATTGTTTCCTTTGCTCTGCAGAAGGTTTTTAACTTGATGTGATCCCATTTGTCCATTTTTGCCTTAGCTGCTGTGATTGTGGGGTATTACTCAAGAAATTTTTGCCCAGACCAGTGTCCTGGAGATTTTTCCCAATGCTTTCTTGTAGTAGTTTCATAGTTTGAGATTTCAGATTTAAGTCTTTAATCTACTTTGATTTGAGTTTTTTATATGGTGAGAGATAGGGGTCTAGTTTTATTCTTCTGCATGTGGATATCCAGTTTTCCCTGCACCATTTGTTGAAGAGATTGTCTTTTCCCCAGAGTATGTTCTTGGCACCTTTGTTGAAAATGAGTTCACTCTACAGGTATGGATTTGTTTCTGGGTTCTCTATTCTGTTCCATTAGTTTGTGTGTCTATTTTTATGACAGTACAATGCTATTTTGGTTACTGTAGCTCTCTAGTATAATTTGAAGCTAGGTAATGTGATCCCTCCAGTTTTGTTCTATTTGTTTAGGATAGCTTTGGCTAATCTGGGTCTCTTGTGGTTCCAGATACATTTTAGGATTCTTTTTTTTATTTCTGTGAAGGATGTCATTGGTTTTGATAGGGAATGCATTGAATCTGTAGATTGGTTTGGGTAGTATAGACATTTTAACAATATTGATTCTTTTAATCCATGGACATGGAATATCTTTCCATTTTTTTGGTGTCTTCAATTTCTTTCATCCATGTTTTATACTTTTCATTGCAGAGATCGTTTGCTTTAATTCCTAGGTATTTAATTTTATTTGCGACTACTATAAATGGGGTTAATTTTTTTTATTTCTTTTCAGATTGTTTCCTCTTGGCATGTAGAAATGCTGCTGATTTTTGTGTGTTGATTTTGTATCTTGCAACTTTATTGAACTTGTTTATCAGTTCTAATAGTTTTGTAGTAGACACTTTAGGTTTTTCCAAATATAAGTTCATATGATCTCCAAACAAGGATACTTCTTCCTTTTCAGTTTGGAAGCCCTTTATTTCTTTCTCTTGTCTGATTACTCTAGCTAGGACTTCCAGTCCTAAATTGAATAACAGTGGTGAGGGTGGGCATCCTTATCAGGTTCCAGATCTTAGAAGAGAGGCTTTCAGTTTTTCTCCATTCAGTATGACACTAGCTGTGGGCGTGTCGTATATGGCTTTTATTATGTTGAGTTGTGTTCCTTCTATACCCAGTTTTTTGAGGATTTTTACTCCATATAAAAAAATGAACTTTTCATTGACTTTAAAAATGAGTGATTTTTGAAGGTGAACTATTCCTTAAACTAGCTTGCCATTTGCAGACAGACTGTTGTCTCTCCTTAGGAGTGACTCTAAACATCCTTTTTCCAAATGTAAAGCAGTCACTTCAGTTATTTTTTTTTGTGCCAACATTGGTTCTATTAAACATGCATGTATTTCTCAAAGTATTTTTTTTTTGCCTAAAAGTACATTCCTGCCCCAAGGACATAGTGATCTGCCCAGTTTCCTAAGTAACACTGCAGTTTTAACAACTCACCTGATCTTTCAATTACCTGCAGTAAAACAGAAAATAGAAATGTGTTTATGTGTGGATAGAAAGAATCCTCTTTCCATTAATTGTTAATCTTCACCTTCACACTTGTGGTAAGAATTTTGTGACTTTTTCTGAGGTAAGAATTTTTTTAAAAAGAGTGTATTTTTAGCTTTTAGTGCTCATTTTCCAGCTCTGCCCTGGCAGATGCCACCAAATTGGGGAAGCTGTGACACTCTTAGGGGAAGTACTGATCCCACGCTTACACTGTGAAAGAAGCACGTGCCCCAGGTTTTACTGGCCTGAGTGAAGATTGTCCCTGAGGCCCTGATCAGATGAAACAGAGAAAGTGTAGCCTGTCTTTTCTCTAACTGCATCTATATGGGGAGCAGTATTTTTATCTAAATTTATATTCATTTAATCATTCTATTATTCTTTAGGTTGAATAGTTAGATCTCTATTATTGACTAGGTTGGCTCTGAGAATTTGGTAGATTTTTCAGTTCAGTAATTTTCGAAGTAGGTAGGTTCTTATCAGAATTACCCAGGGAAAAATATCAAAATATATTTGTTACTGATTCTGCTCCCACTCCTGCCCAGACTACTAAATTAGGATCTTGATAGGGATATGTGTATTTTGTAAAAGCTCCTTATATAATTCTGATAACCATTTGCCACTCTAGTTGAGAAAGAAGTTTTAACTTGGTGGAGACTTTAACTTGTACTTAGCCTTTTGTACACTCTGCCTAATTGAAAGATCACTTTCCCTAACACATTACGTGGTTTGCAACACAAGAACAACCATATACTACTCTTGAAAAAGAGTTCTGAAATACCTGGTTAATCTTCTACTCTTTCTACTTGTAGGGAGGGTCTCTGTGTTGGTGAGAAAGAGAAGCTCAGACTCTTTATCTGTCCTTTTTGTTACCGCATTTGTGCTTTTGTCCCTTTTTTAGTTTCCATTAGGAGAGTAAACAGTGATGCTTTCAAAATAAAATCACACACATTAAATAAATAACACATTAAAAAGAAAAGGAGCCAAGTGGTTAAGTACCCCAAAATGAAAATGGGGTTGAGGACATGGTCAACCTCTTTATTTTTTCTTCCCTTCTTTAATTTTTTTATGTCTGCAATTGATGATCTGGAATTATTTGGGTATAAAAAACTGGAACTGCCTCTTCAATAGGAAGCAGAGCTATAGCAGTTGCCTTACCCATAATGCTAAGGTTTCCCAAAATAATACAGGCAGCCCTGCCAGCCCCACAGGTAAGATTCTTTACTCCTGAACAGAGCTGTCCTAATATTCTGGATGTGCCATGCCGCATGGCAACTTCCGTTTTCTGCCTCTAAATCCTCTTGCTCTAAGTACCCACTTCCTTCTTATTTTTCCCAGGCTTGTTCTTTTTTCTTCTTCTTTTTAAAGTTTTATTTTAAAAAATTGACACACAATGCTTATACATATTTATGGGGTACACGGTGGCATTTCAGTGCATACAATATGTGGTGACCAAATCAGGGTCATTAGCATATCCATCTGCTCAAACATGTATCATTTATTTGTGTTGTGAGCATTCAATATCCTCTTTCAAGCTATTTGAAACTGTAATATATAATTGTTAACTTACTGTAAGTCACCTTACAGTACTATAGACTGCTAGAATTTATTCCTCCTATCTAGCTGTAAGTTTATATCTTTTAATCCTTCTCTATCCCTCCCTTCCATTACCCCAGCCTGTAGTATCCTCTGTCCTACTTTTTACTTCTGTGAGATCAACTGTTTTAAGCACTTCTATGAGATCAACTGTTTTAAGCTTCCACTTATGAGTGAGAACTCATGGTGTTTAACTTTCTGTTCCTGGCTTGTTTTCACTTAACCTAATATCCTCTAGTTCCATTCCTGTTGCTGTGAATGACAGGACTTATTCTTTTTTTTTAATGGCTGAATAGTATTCCATTGTGTAGCAGGCCTGTTCTGGGTCCTCTTCCTTCTTTGTCCTCTTGGGTTCTTTCCAAGCAGATGAGGCCTTCACATAGAAAAATAGATCTTCCCAAGCTGTAAACTCTAGCAGTACTAATGTTCACTTAAAATCAAGAAAGAAGCAAAATGTCTTACTGTCCTTTTATAACAGTTTGATTGTTTCTCTTCTTCCCTCTGCAAATCTTGTCTAGGAAGGGGCATAGAGAAAAATATCCTTGTATACTGACAGCTAAGATATGATGTTATTCTGCCTCCTATGAAATAGCTCTCCAACCTCAAAATGGGTCTTAAGAGAAATGTTTTAAGAGGGAAGGATTATTTAAATTGAGTTTTAAAAACACATATACCTTCTGTTTATTGATACCTTAGTTTCTTTGTTATTCATATTCTGTAACCCGAAAAGCTGTGCAGCTGCAGACAGGACTTGGCTACAAGATCCGTCAAGGCAGAGATTGTCTCTTGTTTATCTCTGTATCCCTACGGTTTAATATAGTGCTTGGCACAGAGTAGGTGCTCACTAAAAATTTAGTGAACAATGTAAGAAGCAACAAAACTGCTTAGTAGAAAGGAAATAGTTCACAAAAGTACGTACTTTTACAATAAAATAATTGACAAGCTTCATTACTTGATTTCCTTAGAAAATCTTTAGCTCTTTCCTAAGTTATAACCAGAGGAATTTACAAAATCTGAAGCATTTAGGATATTCAAGACAACAGTTCGAAGTAGGAATGGGATGGTAGAAGTAGGCCATTCACTGCAGAGAGAAGTTATATGCTGGAGGCATAGCAGTCAAGGGTCACTTAATGTAGAGACAATTGACTTGAAGGCTTAACAATATTGCCTAGAGGAGGAAGGACCACCTGAGCCATTGAACCCACACTAGCACCCTAAGACATTGCAGTATAATATCCTGCATGTATAATAATAGGTAAGTAATACTTACTCTGTTTGCTAAAGTAAACAAGCGTTTCCATTAAAAATTATTAAAAACTTAAACATTGTAGTGCTTAGTTTTTTTTTAAATTCCAAAATGACACTTATCATTCCTTGAAAGTGCGAGATAAGTAGTACTGACTAGATCCGTAAAAGAGTTGATAATATGAGCCGTTACCCATGTTACTGACATATATCAGACATGCAAAATGTTGAAAATGTTGGAGGAGGGACAAATAAAAGGCAGTATTTGTGTAGTTCAGCCCAGGTTGATACTCCAAGAATTAATATCTTAGTACACTTCTTGGGTACTTTTGCTTCTCATTTTGCATCTGTCTCATGAAGCACAGCATATTGTAAACTGTGATCTTGAAGAAGCAATGTTTTTAATTAACTTTTTATTGAAGGATAAACATACAGGGAAGAGTAGAAGCATCCAGATCAAGAAAAAGAGCATTACGAGAAAGAACCCCCAAAGCTCTCTGTGCCTCTTTCTCTTCCTGTCCTTCCCTCACCGCTGCGGTAGAGCACCGCCATCCTGATGTCTAACAGTAGCATGGTTTAGCTGGAAGCAGTGGTGTTAACATTTTTTCTGTAACGTTTTGGTGGTTTCTTTAATGAGCTTCAGATAAAGAGGAAAGAAGCATGACTATACACTATGGCCTTTGTTTGACTTTGTTTCTCCTTCTGAATCATGCCTGTGGATAAGGATGATTGAATGAGATCAGAGTGCTTGGACAGTCTCAGTTTGGGTCTCAAGTCCCATGTTTTTGGAAAAGATGGATGCTCTATTTGTTCTGCATTTCTGTGTTTTGAGGATAAGCACAATTTTGTAGTGTCACTTTATTTTCTGTTTGCATCCGGACTTCAAAGGGAATTGCCACCACTCCATTCAGAATGAAGTCCTGTCTACCTTTGATGTTGTCATCGATGTTAATTTGTTATTAAATCAGCATGCAGCTTAGACTTATTCCCAGGCTTTATGCAAGGTATGAAAAGGGAAATGTTTTCCCTACTTTACACATTCATAATTAGCTATTTAGAATTAACTGTTTGGGCTTTCAGAATTAATTATTCATGAGGTATTTGACTTAATTTTCTGTACATGACAGAGTGATCAATAAGAGGTGCTTTGGATGGAATTTTCCAAACCACTGGCTTTGTATTGTAAATCTCAGCCTGTAACATTTTTGCATTCCTAAAAAGTTTCTTAGGATTTAATCAAATTCTTGTATTTTCCTATTTATAAATTGAGTTGACTCTTAAGCTTTTGCTGTTTAGAGAAGTGAAAGAATGTGTGTGTGTGCGCCCGTGTGTGCACACACATGCACATGCATGCACCCCTTTCAACTGTGGAAGTTCTCATTTTGGGAACTTTCTGAGTCAAAAAATTTGTCCATTCAACAGCTGTCTTGTTGCCTTGCTAACCAGATTTTCAAAAGGTTTGTCTGAGGTTCCAGTTTTCAGACTACTAAGAGTCTTGATCCTCAGCTGGGGCTATTGATTAGGCGTTTATCTGATATAATTTTATATGTTATTTGACTAGTTTTTTTAGAACTGTGGTAAAATGTACGTCGTATAAAATTTACTCTTTTAACCACTTTTAAGTGTTTAGTTGGCCATTTGATTTTTACAACTTTTATTCATTTATAGCATTTCTAATCAACAACTAGTGAGGATCACCAGTATGGCCTGAGCTAGGGTTGGTAGATCATTGATCATTGGAAAATTATCAAAGAAGTGTAAATAAAGTTTCTGTTCTCAAGATCCCTATTCTTACTCTCAAAGAGGTTGAGCATTCTTGTTTCATTGGAGAAGCAAGATATATGCACACCAGGTAAACATTGCTTTATGGTAGATGAGGCCCAAATGTTCAAGGAAAGCTTTGTGTAAAGGTGAGACTCATTTTGGTCTTTAATCAGGGACAGGATCTGTCTGGTTTGAGAGGGACAAAATCTTAACATATGTAAAGATTTTTATTTACTTCTTATTTTGGGTACAATACAATGCATTTTTGGGGAACAGTGGTGAACTAAAATACCATACCAGCTATTTCAGTGTTAAGCCCATTGTCTTTTACAGAATCCTTTGCTTTTAAAGTAAGCTGAATATTCAGATGAGGGAACATATTCTTGTCACATAATTAATATTTTTATTTTCTTTTTTTGCCTGTAAAATAAAAAACATAATTAATATTTTTAAAAGTCATAGAAACCAAATTTACTTAACTTGTGATATAGACAGTATTAAAAATTCAGATTTACATGACAAGAGGTTAAACATCCTATTAAAATTATATGCAAATATCTGTGTTCATGCAGCATTAAACTTTTCAATGTATAACCTCTTGGGAGTAAGTATTTCATTAGTGAGTTTAGAACAATTGTGGTTATAGTTTTATAAAAAATAATTGTATAAAAATAAGCACATAATGAAACACATATTCATTGAAATTAATCTTGAATGTCTGCTACACTGAAATTAGGTAAAATGTTTATAATGGGTGTGTATTGTGGATAAAGAGTGAGTTATTATTAATTCTGAATAATATTGTCCCAATACTTAATGGGAAAAGATGGTGCCCATTTTGTTTATGTCTGTAATGGTTCAAGGATTTAATCTGGGGTACACGTAATGTCTTAGAATTAAAAAGTTCAAACCATTTTTTCTCTTCTTATATCTGCAGACAGGCAAATGTACATTGGGGACCACCATGTTCACGTGACATAAAGAGGAAGCGGAAACCAGTGGCCACAGCATCTTTGTCTAGCCCCAGTGCAGGTGATTACATGCAGTTATCATTTACTGAGCATGTACCATGTGTCAGGCACTAAATTATGTGTTTTGTATACCTTTTCATGTAATCTTTGTGATGGTGTAGGTCATTTTATTCCCATTTTACATGGGAAAACTGAGACTATAAGAAATAATTAGCCTAGTTCTCACTGACTCTGAAATCTACGCGTTTTCACTGTTACGTGACTTTCCAGAGTTTGAAACGCTATATTCCACTGTCAGCAGTCTGTAGTCATCTGAGCTTTTGTTCTATCACAGACAGGTCCATGTTAATGAAAGTCCAGGTGAGGTGGCAGTTCAGTCAGCAGTCAAGCAGTCACATGGGGTTATTTACTTTCTTCTTTTGCAGACAATACAGTACATTCTTACTGCTTTTATGTATAAGTAGAATGCTAATATTTTACTGGTCATGACATTCCTAATTAAAAGCAATTTTTTAGGCTAAAACTTTTCAGTTTTTTTTTTTTTTTTTTTAAAAAAAACAAAACTAACACTAATCAGTAGAAGTGAAAATAGTGGTTCTCTTTGGTCGGGGTTAGTAACCAAGAGAGGGCACAAAGAAGCCCTCTGGACTGTTGGCAGTGTGCCATATGGTGAACTTGGTGGGGATGTATGGCTGCTTAGGTATGTGGAGTCTGGAGCTGTACACTTAGGATTGATGTCCTTCACTGTGTGTATGTTATCCTTCAATGAACAAAAGCGGATAGTTATGTATTTATTAATATATCAGTGACAAAACTGGATACTGAATATATCATCAAATATTTTATTTTCTTTAGTAGAAAATACTACCTATTATATAGATCAGAGCAGTTGATAGCTGAATAGAGAGAAACCGCAGACAGATGGGGAGGGAGCCCTGTCCTCTGCCTTGACTTAGTAAGTTTTGGTGAACTCTGAAATTGT